TTCCCCTCCCCCATTTCTGAAGAAGGGTCTAGGCCCGAAACGTCAGCCTTCCTGCTCCTCTGATGTTGCTTGGCCTGCTGTGTTCATCCAGCTCTACACCTTGTTATCTTAGAATTCAAATATTCAAGATTTTTCTTCTGCTTGACACAAGATAAGTCTATGTTAAAAATACAATTCAATAACTTTTCAAGTAAGCAAGCTATAAGCATGGTAGCTTTTGGCTGTGTTATTGATGTGTGACTGATTTAACTAATTGCCTTTCCTGCACAGTCAGCTAAATTAGGTAGCCTTCCTGGAACAAGTCTATACCATCTACATAGTTATTGCTCACAATGAGTGAAACCTATAGAATCTATATAAACATCTTCAATATATTCATCATCATCAGAAACATTGTGAGGAATGGACCTTGCTTCAGTTTGTTGTTTATTGCTTTTAGCTTCTTTTGATGTTTGTGGGATATTATGGGTTGTCTGTGTAGATGTACTTTCCATATAGAGATCTGGTTCTTCCTGCAGTCGATGATGATGGTAGGCAAACAAGCAATTGTACCATTTGATGAATTTTGCAAAGAGGACGAGTATCGAAGATATGCCAATTGATGTTGCCATGACACCAGCCACTAATTTCCAGGATTTCCCAAATTTGGATTGATCTAATAAATAAAGAAAAGTGTAGTATGTCCAAACGTTAAGTACTAATGCTCTAGTACCACTTTGCAAGGAATCATTCACTTAAATGCTAGATATAAGTTAATTTTAATCAAACAAATATGTTTAATATTTCTATTTGTACATGTTTAAATGAAAAATAACTTAGTCTTTATTGTAGCATGCCAGTGACTGCTTAATTTGGCAAGTTTTAAGTAATTGTTGCTCAACTCTGAATTACAAACATGAAAACAGGAGAATGCCTCTCAGCCTTTCGAGCTACCCCAATTTAAGCATCAACTGCATATTCCTGCACACCCCCAATAATCATTCATCCCCTTGATCATCAAGAATCTGTCTACCTTTGCCTTAAAAATATTTTAAAATCTTACATCCACTCCCTTTTAAGAAAAGGAATTCCACAGATTCTCAACCCTCGGACAGAAAAAAAAGTTTCCTCATCTCTGTCTTAAATGGACAACCCCTTACTTTTTAAACTATGACCCTGTCACAATATTCTCCCACAGAGAAAACATCCTTTCCTCATCCACACAGTCAAGTTTCCTCGGGATCTTGTATATATTAGCATAGAAGATCCTTGAACTTATAAACTAGAATCAATTTCTTCATTGTACATCAAATTTGAGATAAATCAGCATATAAGATGTATTACTGCATAAGCAGTTGGTACAAAAAGCAAATTTCTTCGGGGTGATATGAATTTGTCAAAATATCTACCAGTAAATTTGGCTCATTTCATTTTTTACAAATCCTTTAAGTGACTTGAAGTAAAGTTGTTTTTTAATCATCAGATGTATTGGGACAGGTTACATTTTTTTCATAATACTTGGGAGATGGCAGCAATTTTTTTTAAAAGAAGCCATAAATCAGTCCACACTGTGACTGGGAGAAGAAACTTAGGAATTTACTAATCGAGTGGTAATGCAGGCCTTTAATGGGACGGCTCTGAGGAGTGTTGTCAGACAGAGACCAAGGGGTGCAGGTCCATAGTTCCTTGAAAATGACAGCACGGGTAGACATGGTGGTGAGGAAGGCGTTTGGCATACTTGCCTTCATCAGTCAGACCATTGAGCACAGGAGTTGGGACGTCATGTTACAGCTGTACAAGTCATTGGTAAGGCCTCATTTGGAGTACTGAGTACAGTTCTTGTCACCCTGCTGCAGGAAGGATGTTATTAAACTGGAAAGAGTGCAAAAAAAGATTTACAAGGATGCTACCAAGTCTGGACAAGTCTGGAAGGTTGGAGTTATAAGGAGAGGCCGGATAGCCTGGACTTTTTTCCCTGGAGTGTAGGAGGCTGAGGGGGTGGTCTTATAGAGGTTTATAAAATCATGAGGGGCGTAGATAAGGTGAATAGCCAAGGTCTTTTCCTCAGGGCAGGGAAGTCCAAAACTAGAGGGCATAGTTTAAGGTAAGAAGATAATGATTTAAAAGAGGCAACTTTCTCACACACAGGATGGTGCATATATGGAACAAGCTGTCAGAGAAAGTGGTAGAGGCAAGTACAGTTACAACATTTAAAAGACATTTGGACAGGTACATGGATAGGAAAGGTTTGATGGGATAGGGCAAATGGAACTAATTCAAGAAACCTGGTTGGCATGTACGAGTTGGACCGAAGGGCCTGTTTCTGTGCAGTATGGCTCTGACTCTACACTGTTTGAGCACATTACATCTCCAGGGCAGGTGGAGCTTAAATTTAGACCTTTTGATCTACAGTTAAGGACATGCAACTATTTCATAATACCCATGCTAGGATGGATTTTAAACACAACTTATGAAATTACTACTTGTAATTACACACTTGAAAGATGCTTAAATAGCCATCCCAGTCACAAACTCCACAAGCATGACTGATGTTTGAAATACCAATAATGGCACTGGCACATTCTGTTGTACTGACTTCATCATTGGGAGATAACGTTTCTGCTGCATTGCATAAAGAATGTAATCAAATTTGTTTTACAGGCAAAAGTTAATTGAAAAAATTGACTGTGAAAATCAATAACTTTGGAAAATTAAATAGATGTTGAGATAGAAACAATGTTAAAGCAGTTTTAACACTGAGTATAATTTCTTTAGTTTTCTCCCTTAGACAGAAGCCCATAGGTGTCTGCCTGTAACTTGGTTAATTCAGCATGCTTCATATGGATGTATGTAGTGGAGGGCTACTTGATCTGAAATTGGGATATAACTGAACATGATCCTGTGCTACTCGATTTTCATGCATGCAAATTATGGCACTATATTTGTCTAATGTGGAGCTGTGGCTGTGTTTTCCTTTCTAACTCTTCAGTCCAAATAAAGCAGCCCTATCATTATTGCAGGTGCATTTAAGGTAACTCAACATGGACTAAGAATTTTGTGAGCATGGCGCACAATCTATTACAATGATGTTTCATCCTGGTTATTATGAAGCTTTTGAAAAGAAGCATGAAGTTTGTATTTTTTGTCACTTCTGTAACGTTAGATTTTGTCAGGTTATTGTATGAGACAATGTAAATAGCAGCTTCCATAATGATGAATCAGATGAACACAAAACTGAGATGAGAGACCAATTTTTATGGCCTTAGCAGTATTAAGTCCCCTCATGTGGGGTGGTATGTAGCCCATTGACATATAATTAGGGATGGGCAATAAATACTGGCCAGCCAGTGACGTCTCCGTCCCACAAATGAATGAATTGAAAAAAAAAGCTAGTTGTTGTTTCAATGTATTTACTCATTATTACTGCAAAGCTAAACTAACCAACAAGCAGCAGATTCAACAAAAGCACCTATGAGTTTGAGATAAAAAGATGCTCCAGTTTTGACCAGTACTGCTCTGAATCTGCATCATGACAAGGCTAGATTTGACAACTTGCACTGGTCAGACCACGGGCATAGCACATAGACATTCTGTATCATGACATATTTCTTAATTGTTGTCTTTCTGTCAGAAGTTTCCTGAAGTACTGTGTTGTACTATGATTTCTCTTGTTATTTGTCAGAAACATGTACATCTGACATAAAATGATTTAGTACCTGAGCCATTTATTTGATTCGCAGTGTTATTTTGTCCAGCCACAGTTGGAATTTGCATTGCTGCATTGTGCATGCTTTCTGATAAGGTTGTGCCAAATGTACTTTTGACAGTTGATTTATCTGGAGATGATGTTAAGCTGGAGACTGAAAAACATCCATTCCTCTTGATAAGAGCTTCTTCAAAAGTGTAGAATTGCATTTCTTCTGGTGCTTCGCATGTTGTGATGTTCGCATTACCTGCAGTTGAAATAAGATGCAACTTTCCAAACAGACACAATTCTTCAGTTCTTGTTTGTCATACCTATTTCCTTTTCAAATAATTTACGTCGATAATTTTGTTATTTACTCATTGCACATGGCCAGCATTGACTATGCCAACATTTGTTGCCTGTCCCCAGGCCCTTTTTAACTTTAGGTTCCCTTCAGTAATTTAAAAAAATCCACTCACTGCAGTAATCTTACTGACTATAAACTTTATAAAGAAACCTTCCATTTCCTAGTGGCATTAATCACTAATGAATATCATATCAATAAGAAATTATGCAAACCTGTCACTCTGGGAGGTGAACTCACCTAGGTGTACTCGTGACTCATTAAGCCATCTCTGGAAACCGAGAAAGCCACAACTACAGTTCCAGTGATTTCCATATAGAGTTAAATGTGATAAATTCAGATGTTTCATAATATCCTTCTCAACATGTGTAAGGTAGTTACTGTGTAGTTCCAGTACATCCAAATTTTTTAAATTATTGAATGTTCCTGAAAGTAATTTGAAGATGAGGTTGTATCCAAGATACAGTTCTTTAAGCTGGGTTAAATTTGAAAGAACTTGAACATCATTATGAGTTAAAGAAATGTTATTATTCATGAGCTTCAACTTTGTTGTGTTAGCAGGCAGATCATAAGGAATCGATGTCAAATTCTTTCCACTGTAATCACACTGCAGAAAAATAAGACGAGATTCAGGTGATTGTTTACATTTAGCTGAAGGAGAGAAAGACTAATATTTCTATAGAACCTCTCACGAGTGAATGTCTAAAAACATTTGGTTTTGAATTGTAGTCACTGTTGTAACATCGGAAATGCAACAATCGAAATGTGCAAATAAACCACTGACAAATAGTAATAAAGACCAGAAAGTTTTTTTCTTATAACATTAATTAAGGGATAACTATTGGCCAGGACAACTGCTCTTCTTCAAAACTGTGTCAATGGATCTTTCGCATCTGCCTAATGAGGCAGATGGTTGGTTTAGTGTTTGCCCAAAATGATGACAACTCCAACAGTGCAGTACTCTGTCAGCACGACACTGGGGTGTCAGCCTTGAATTTTGCGCTGAATCTCAGAAGTGAGGTTGCACCCAGAAATGAGAATGTGCTACCAACAGTTATGTAACTTCAATACTGCCTTATTTTCATCAAATTTTGAGATTTTTTTAAGCAACACGCATTTGTATTATTCCTGAAATTTAGTGAATTGAGCAATTTGTGGATATTCTGAAATAAAATTTGGCATCAAATTACATATTGAGATATTTGAATGAATTACCAAAAACCTGACCAAAGAGGTAAGTTCTAAGGACTGTTTTGAAGAAGTAGAGATACATATTGAGATGGAGAAGTTCAAGGAGGGAATTTCAGAGCTTGGTGACTAAGTAGCTGAAGGCATGATTACATTGTTGGAGTGATTAAAATCAGTAGTCATTACATACCAGAAATAGCCTGTGAGAGTGCTTGGAACAAATTAATATTTTGGGAAGTAGAATTTCAGTTCTAAGCCACTTTGCTTCTCATGAATCTTTCCATGGTGAGCCCATTGTTTTTTGATAAGATAATAGAACGATATTTCAAAGTCTATTTCAAAACATTGATGACAAGCTAAAACCTAAAAATTGCTCTTTTGAATGTAATTCATTCATTAAAATTTTGTAAAAAAAAATAAATTACTCCTGGTTTGCTTACTGTGGTGATTGTAACGAGATCATCCAGGTGGACCTCATAGAATGAGTTCCTTGATTGGGGCTGTTAATCTGGTCCAATCAGAGAGCCCCGACTGATACAAACAGATGCATCAGACATCGTGTTCACTCTGAGACCAAGCTCTGAGGGAGCTGGATCAGTGTCAATAACTCTGCATGTGTAAATAAAGGGTGACTTGGTGACGGGATACTGGCCTCTGTGGAGTTATTTCAATGGCGAACAGAGAAAAGCATGCTCCTGAAGAAATTTACTCGCAAAAGTCGTCCTTGAGTTGGGATAAGCATTTCTGGCATCATGCTGTTATTTGGGAAGCTTGACTTGTTCAATCCTGCTGAAAGTATGTGGAAAGAATGTGTTACTTTTTCCAGGTAAATGACATTGGAGCAGATGAAAAGAAACAAGTAATTCTCCTGAAAGCTTGTGGACTCGCAGCATTTTCAGTCATGGGAGCCTACTTTCCCTGAGGCACCAGATACTAAAAGCTTTCAAGAGTTGACAGATTTAGTTAAGGAATGTTACAACCCCAAGCCTCCTCTAACTCTGAGACACTTGCATTTTTACTCGGCAATTCAAAAACCAGAGGAATCCGTATCAGGATTTTTGACTAGATTAAAACAACTGGTAGAGATGCTCAGAGACTGTTTGGTATGTGTGATTAATGCTGTAACCAAAGCTTATACTAGCTAAAGCCCAACTGGACTTCAAACAGCCACTACAACTGGAAATTATGGCAAATGGAGCATATAAGTTGCAGTGTATTCTGATGGAAGTGGACACCCTCATCAGTATGACTGAGCTTGGGAAACACCACTTGAGTGAAGGCAATTGTATAACCTCATTCAGGACATACCCTGAACAGACGGACTCTAGGTCAGCCCACAGCAAAACCCCAAAACAAAGCCAAGCTTCGGCCAAACGGGTAAAATTTTCTTTAGGAGCCAAGCCGGCAAGCCACTGTGTGCAGTATGTAGACTCGAGACAGCAATAAGTCACACTAGACCTAGATTGAGTAAGATAACTCATAGGCTAATATCCAGGAGAGTGCACACCCTGGAAAGTCCACATATATCTGATTTGGAACAATTAAATTGCTTAGCAACATCCAAATCGGAACCAATCAAAATAAACATCTAGTTAAATGGTCACCCACTTCTAATGAAGTTTGATACCTGTAAAGCTGTTTCAGTGATACCAGAACCGGTCTTCAAAAAAGACTGAACTTGGATTCCAACCCTTAAGTTTGCGCAAGACCTCGGTTAGACTGAGAACCTAAACCGGAGAACTTTTACAGATGAAGGGTACAACCTTGGTTCTGGTCTCTTATGAGAAGCTGTTGGTTCAGTTACCAATGATTGTAGTAAAAGGCTCGGACTTTTGAAAGCTTGATGGAGCAAAATTGGTTGAGAAAGATTCAACTTGATTGGTTCAACATTTTTTCGATTAGAAATTAGCTGCCTGAGTGAAGTCCTAATTAAATACCTAGAAGTTTTTCAGGAAGGTCTCCCTGCATGGTAATCAGGAAACAATTCCACAATTCTGCAAGACCTGTCCAGTGCCCTTTGCCTTATGGGCAAAAGTAGAGGCAGAAATCAGAAGGCTGGGAAGCGAAGGAATCATCAAACTAGTTTTTGGTATGTGCAGCACCAGTCATACTGATTGTGAAGCCTGATGGGTTTGTGGGGATTTAAACAAACGGTAAACCGCTTTTTGCAGCTGAATAAATACCCAGTCCCTCGCATAGAGAATTTATAGCCGAAGCTAGCAGGGGTGCTGTCTTTCGTGATGCTGGACATGAGCCATGCGTACTTGCAATTGTTAGATGAGGATTCCTAGAAGTATGCTACAGTGAATACCCATAAGGGTTTGTACCAGTATACGAGACTGTCATTTGGGGCATCATCCGACTGCAATTTTTCAGTGGACGATGGAGAACATTTTACAAGATCTATTCCTGGTCGTCATTTATCTAGACGACGTGCGAATAACAGGGAAGACCAATAGGGTGCATTAAGATAACTTGGATATAGACCTTAGACGTTTCTCCCAGGCAGTGACCTACTTGGACTACAGTCTCGACAAGACCAGGTTACACCCACTGGAAGATAAAGTGAGAGCGATCAAAGGTGCCCCAGCTCTCATATCAGTACTGGAGCTTAGTTCTTTTCTGGGGCTCGTGAATGATTATGGAAAGCTCACACATAGTCTGGCCTCCAATTCGGCACCTTTGCATCAACTCTCAAAAAAGGGTCAGCAATAGCTTTCAGGGAAGTGAACAACTATCATCCGCTAAGGCGTTGGTACACTATGATCCCAAGCGAGATCTGGTATTGTCATGCGATGCCTCCCCTTAAAGCATCACGGTAATATTTGATCATAGGTAGCATGGAAAGGAACACCCAATATCATATGCATCCAGGACTTTGGCTATTGTAGAGCCTAAACAAGCCCAGATAGAGAAAGAAAGTTTGGCAATCATATTTGGAGTCAGGAAGCTACCTTTTATGGATGTAAATTTGTAATAATAATGGACCATAAACCCTTGCTAGGTCTACTGAAAGAGGACAAGGCAGTGCCACCCATAACTTCAGGCTGAATTCAGCAGTGGGCTCTAATACTAAGTATGTATAATTACTAGTTGGAACACTGTATAGGAGGCCAAGTAGCAAATACGGATGTGTTGAGCCACCTCCCGCTGGCAGATACACCTCCGGTGGTACTGCCACTGGAAGAGTCCATGATTGTTCAAAATTTTCTGGACACACTTCCAGTCACAGCTAACAATATCAGACTTTGGATGCAGAAAGATCTGGTCCTGGTAAAACTGGAACAGCTGGTGGTGATGGAAGAAACAGAGTTATCACAACCAGAATTAAAATCTTTTTGGTTCTGGAGAGTCCAGATCACAGTAGAGGATGGTATGTTATTACAGGAGCAAGAGTGATTGTCCTGAACAAAGGTCGCCGCCAGATACTGGCTGAACTCCAACAGGGTCATCCAGAGTTTCCAAAATGAGAATGTTGGCAAGAAATTATGTCTGGAGGTCAGGATTGGATGCAGATATAGCCATGATGTTGGGCAGTGTCCAGTGTGCCAACAAGGACATAAATTATTGTCTGCAGCACCCCCACATTTGGACACGGTTCCTATTTGATTATAGGACCACCCCTCATGCAACTACACTGATAGTTCCAGCAAAATTGCTAACAGGGAGAAGACTCCACATTATGTTAAATCTGATCCTCCTGGAACACGAGACTCCAGTCAGCGAGAGAGACCATTTACTTCAGGGGACAATGTCTGATGTAGGAACCATGGGAATGGCCCTGCATGGGTAAGAGGCAAGGTTGATGCAAGGTCAGGTCCAGTGACGGATAAAGTTTGGTTAGGTGCAGCAGTCCTGAACAAGCACATGGACCATATGAAAGCTGCAAACTCGCGAACAGTGCAGGAGCAAATCATGCCTGACTGCTCGACAGCCATTCATGAATCCGTAGGTTTTACCTCTCGAAGTGTTGAAGAGACCTCAGAATCTGACATTGACACGGCGGACATCGCCTTTGCTGCCTGAAGAAGAGAATGAATTTCTTCTGAGATGCTCTGGGCACATGAGGCGAGCTACTGTGCATTACATGCCACCTGTATCAGAGGCAAAGTTGGAGGAACCTGATCCAGTGCTAAACTGCCCCAGGAGGAACTACAAAAAAAAAAGAACCAGCCACTGTCCTTGGACTTAGAGACGGAAGAATGTGGTGATTGTAACAAGGTCAGTCAGGTGAACTTCATAGAATGAGTTTCCTGATTGGGGCTACTAATCTGGGTCCAGTCAGGGACCTCTGGCTGACAGATAAGAACAGGAGTGTTACACATCCTGCTCTCCCTGACAGCTGGCTCTGAGGGAGCTGGATCAGTGCTATGACTCTCCACATGTAAATAAAAAGTGACTTGGTGACAGGATACCGGCCTCTGAAGTTATTTCACTTAACAATGTTTGGTTTGTAGATTTTTTTAAAATCGGTGGATAGCCAGTCAGTGACAGATTAGTTCCTTTGCTTAGCTGTAGATATCAACGGGAGGTAACTGAGCCCCTCAAATATAATTAGAAAAACACAGCCAAATATTTTTTGTCACAATGTTGGTGGTGGATTGAGGAACATCAGTTTATATGGAAAGAGCGGTAAAGCCTATTACAAAGAAATGCAGAAATGTTGCCATGTTTATATGCTCATTCATGTCTACTTGCAAAGAAATAGCTGTAGAGTAAGCATGAAAAGACATAAGGAAAGTAGGCAACAAGAGTCTACCACAATGCCATTTGAAGCTGATTTCACGTTCATGGTCCTTGCAATCTTTTACCCAAAGTTGCCCAGAATTCCAGTTATACTCTGTACCTCACTTGGTTCTTCCATAGGGAAATAAGAAAGGATACTGACTTACCTACCTAAAAAAATGCACCATGGAGCCTTATGGTGCCAACTCAAGCTGTCAACATAAACACAAAATAGAGTTAAAAAAATTTTTTTGCTCTAACTGTGATTCATAAGTTTCGCATTTGTCAATAGTTAGAATATAACAGGAGCCCAATCAGGAGTCCAACTTGAGAAAGCAGTGGATATTATTTGATTAACCAAGAATGAAAACCAGCATCTCATGATGGCTGTTCTGGCCACAGTATTTTTATGACTAGTTCAGTTCCATTTCTAGTCAATGGTAACCCCCAGGATGTTGTTAGTGGAGTAATCCATGATGATGATGCCATTGAATATCAGGAGCTGGTTAAATTATCCGAGATGGTCATTGCCTTGCACTTGTGTGACACAAATGTCACTTGGCCAAGCTTGGATTTTGTCCCTGTCCTGCTGTATAAAGACCCAGACTGTTTCAGTGTCTAAGGAATCACAAAATGTGCTGAACACTTTGCAATCATCGGTGGACATCTCCACTTCTAGACTTATGATGGAGGGAAGGTTGTCGACAAAGGTCATTTTCCGTATTGATGGTTGAGTCTAGGACACCAGTTTGAAGAATTCATGTAATGATGTATTCGGATTGAGATGATTAACTGAAATGCTCACTGTATTGATATATTTTCCCTTTTTCATGACCGCATAGTTTTTTGTTAAACATTGCTGACTGAGCGGCACTGTAACCTCAGCAGTAACTCTGTAATATTGTGTTGTCCTCTTATGGTGCTACTGTAAGTTGGTAGCAAAAATAGCAAAGCAATTGTCCTGGTTAAATAAGGCACCTTTGGGTTTTTTTTAATTCTTTCATGAGACTTGAGTGTTATTAGCTAGGCCAGCATTTATTGCCCATCCCAGACGGCAGTTAAAAGCCAACCACATTACTGTGAAGCTAGAGTCACATAAGCCAGACTAGGTAAGGACAGCAGTTTCCTTCCCTAAAGGTCATTAGTGAACCAGATAAGTTTATTTCTGACAATTGGCAATGGTTTCATGGTCATCATTGGACCCTTCATTCCAGAGTTTTTTTATTGAATTCAAATTCCACCATCTGCCATGGTCCCCAGAACATTACCTTGGTCTCTGAATTAACTGTGTAGCAATAATACCACTGTGCAATCACCACATGATCTATCCAAGGCTGCATTATATATCTATGGACAACAAAATAGCTAACACTGCCTATGGCCTTAGCGTTTTCAAGGACAGGGCAGTCTTTGTGAATGCCTGGTGCAGCAATACCTGACATTAAAACAAATCTTTCTGCTCTCGATGATCCTTCTCTACCAAGTACAGTGCTGGTGGAATACTGAAATCAGCCTTCATCGTGTGCAAAAATACAAAGTGGGAAGAAACTTGCAACCAGCTCACATTTAAATTAGGACTGCTGTTTTCTCACTGCAGCCATTCCACACATACCAGTTTTTTGTTTGGACGTAATAACTCCAAACAAACAGTACATTATTTCTGAGATAGTAGGAACTGCCGATGCTGGAGAATCTGAGATAACAAGGTGTAGAGCTGGATGAACACAGCAGGCCAAGCAGCATCAGAGGAGCAGGAGCTTGGCCTGCTGTGTTCATCCAACTCTACACCTTGCTATCATAGTACATTATTTCTGTACTGCTGGATGCTTTGCTCCTGAGTAACCAACATAGGTTGAAGGCACTGATGCATCTTCTTTATTCAGCAATTTTATTATTGTTGAGTAACAAGCAGTAAACAAGCTGTGATGGCCTTGTCTATCCCTATGCAGACACCACTGATATCAAACTAGACCAATAACCATGTGTAAATCAAAGTCCTGCATCAGTCTTTTCTCAAACTAGAGATTTTAAAATTTGTTATATTTACTGTGATGCATGTTTAAATTGGCACTAAATCAAAGCATAAAAATATAATGTTCAGATATTTTCTGGTATCTGCTTACTATAGATCTATCTACTGATGCTAACAGTTTACTAAACTTCTGAGAATTAAACTTCTGTGTTATAAATAGAAATTAGTCATAGCTCCACATCAAGTGGGATTCTACTCAAAACTTATATTTTCATATCACCTGTGACCACCATGTTGAAAACATAAAACATGGAGTTGGGATAGGGGGCTGGGAGTGTGAGAAGACAAATCATCATATATGCATTGACATATCAGATGTATACAGATTCCTTTTAAGATGTGTTGACATCATTCTATTACCATACTTACTGTTGTGTCACTGAAATTACATGGAGATAAAGCTATTGCAGCTGTTGTCAAAATAACATTTCCAATCCAAAGTTTAACCCAACGTGTTGTCATGACCCCAGCTCTTCTGCAAAATAAATGCTTTTTAGTCACTTTCAGTTAACCAAGAGGTCAGATATTTCTTTGTTGTTCTGCTTTGAAAATGAATAGTAAACAATATTTAACACTAGACAATGTTTTGTTAAACTAGAAACTGACTTTCAATAAGTGGAAGACAAAATAGATTAAAGGGTTTAGAGAGAAGTCGAGATTGATGAAACATAAAGAAAAACCATTAAAACATGTAAAGGAAATACTAGCTTCAAGAAGAAATTACAATGTTTATGTCTCAATTTTAGAAGATTAAGAATTCTGTTAGTAAAATGTCCATATGCCATGGCACCAGGTGGTGCTCTTATCGGAACGAGACAGTTAAAAGTACAAACATCTATGTAATGACTGTGGTACCACTAGGTGGCATTATCATATATTTCACAGAATTTATTTAAAATACCGCCTGGAAAATCTCATGCCTAAAACAAGGGATTATTATATGATTGAATTGACCCCATTTTAATTTTTGTTTTTATCTTTTAATAAGGTCGCCATAGTCTTACCAGACCATTGTGCTTTACTCATTAGAGAGACAACTGGTGGTGGTTTAACCTGAGGTGCTTCATGTTCATCAGGTAGCGGATAAGAAGGAGAGTCCTACATGGTAACCTCAGGAGGTATGGGAGTTGAACCCATGCTGCAGGTGTCACTCTGCATCACAAACTAGCCATCCAGCCAACTAAACTAACTGACAGCCCCTTAGGAAGGATACATTCACCTTAGAGAGACTATAATATAGGTTTATAAGAATGATGCCGGGCTTCAGCCTAATACAGACTTCAACCTAATACAAACTAGGCCTGTTTTTCTGTAGAATTTAGAAGGCTAAGTAAGGGGTGATCTGATTGAAGTCTTCAAGAGATGGCATAGTGGTTAGCACTGCTGCCTCACAGCACCAGTGGCCCAAGTTCGATTCTAACCTCAGGTGACCGTATGGAATTTGCACGTTCTTCCCATGTCTGCCAGGCGCTCCGGTTTCCTCGCACAGTCCAAAGATCTCCAGGTTAGGTGGATTGGCCATGCTAAATTGCCTCATAGTGCATCTGTAGTGTCCAGGGATGTGCGGGCTAGGTGGATGGGGATGGGGATGGGTGGGGTGGGTCTGGGTGGGATGCTGTTTGGAGGGTCAGTGCAGATTTGATGGGCTGAATATGCACTGTAGGGATTCTATGATTCTATATTAACAGAAAAAGACAATAGATAAAGTTAAACTATTTCCACCCTTTGGGAATTCTAGAACTAGGGAGCATAGTCTGAGAATTAGGACCTGACCATTCAGGAGAGATGTTAGGAAACACGTCCACACACAAAGGGTGGTAAATATTTGGAACTCTTCAGCAAACAGCAGTAGATGCTGGATCGTTTGTTAATTTTAAATCTAAAGGAGTTAATTCTTGTTAAGCAAAAGTATTAAGGGATATGGGCCAAAGGCAAGTATATGGAGTTAGGTCACATATCTCCATTGAATGGTGGGTCAGGCTGGAGGGGCTGAGTGACCTACTGCTGTTCCAATGTATTATGCTGTCCCATTAACTCATTCTTATGTCCACTTCAGATCTTAAAAGGATAGCATAGAATATGTTTGAAATTAATCATCTTTTAAAAAATGGAGGGCTGAAGGGATTGGGGTTGTGCAGGTGCATAGATTATTAAAATGTCATAAATAGGTGCAGAAAATAATTAGAGGCTAATGGGATCCTGATCTTTTATACTGAGAAGACTAGCATGCAATAGAGTAGAAGTCACACTTAAGCTATCCAAACCTTGTTCAGACCACACCTGGTGTACTAACCACATTCTAGACATTACATCTTAGAATATATTAACTTTGAAGCAGTGGACTATAACTTACCACAATACTACATGAACTCTAAAGGCTAAATTATGAGGGGAAATTGCACAAACTAGAATTTTAGAAGTTTAAGAATTAACTTGAGTAAAGTTTTTAAGACCTTAATAGGAACAGGTAGGTGAGGAAGAGAGAAATTATTTCTGTTGGTTGGAGGAGTGCAATACCAGTGGGCAGAGTCAAAAATGTTAGAGCTGGACTTTTCAGATCATCTGCAGTCCGCTTTGAATTGGACAGGCTGCAAGGTCAAATAGTTTTCTCCTGTTCTCATATTAGACACTGCTTAGCTAACACTGCCAGCTACAACCTCTATCTACTGAAGCTTCTCACTCTTCATTTGGTACTGAGCGTGACCTCCCCATTGCCTAAAATTCCCAGCTGGTCTTGAAATAACTTTCATCACCCTGAACCCTCCAACTAAAGATAAATTACAGGACATAATTTTAGTGCTCAAAACCCCCTGGAACATACTTGTCAGTGCTCCCAGATCTTGAAATCTCTCTGTCCATTACATGAGAATTCCTCTTCCAGTTCCTTTGAGCAGCAATACGTCTTGACTGCTCAAAACCCCTTCAGAACATGAATTCACTGTCCTGTTCTTCAAACACTACGAACTTAGTTTCAGATCTTTATGGGGAGGTGCCGAGGGAATTGAGTGGCAATACCTGATAACCATTTTTGAAGTTTATTTCTCAGCTGTAGTCAGCGAGATTGAGAGGCTTGCTTGTTGTCAGGCAAGTAGACCTGTGGCAAAAGCAAAATACTGTGGATTCTGGAAATCTAAAATAAAAACAAGAAGTGCTGGAGAAACTAGCAGGCTTGGCAGCAACGATGGAGAGAAAAACAGTTATCATTTTGAGTCAGATATAACTCTACTTCAGAACTGAAAGGGGCTGGAAAATTGTGTTTTATTTGTACTTTTTTCAATCTAGCCACCTGTATTCATTTTAATGTGGTCTGTTTTACGTTGTTGAAACCAAATACAGACTGGCTGACCCCTTTGCAGAACACCTCCACTCTGTCTGTGGGAATGACTCCACTCGCTTGCCCCTTCAATAAACCACCAAGCTCTATTGAAGCATTTCTGCCCTGAGCCTGCTACAGTGTTCCAACAAAGTTCAATTCAAGCTAAAGGAACAAAGCCTCATTTTCTGCTTATACTTTATGGCAGCTAGGACTCAATATTGAATTCCACAACATCTTCAGAGTGTGACCTCCCTGTATCCTCAATTTTTCTTTCATCCAACCTCACCACCACATCCCCACCCCCGTACACGCATGCACACTCAGAGATCCTTTTCACACCTTCATTTACACCCTTTTTACATCTCTATCTTCTCTATATCATCATTAGCAACACCTTTGTCTTTTTCTGTGGACATCCTTACAATCTTGCTTCTTCCCTTTTCTTTACAGCATAAAAAACACAATTTTCCAACCCCTTTCAGGTCTAAAGAAGTCATATTGGACATGAAATGTTACCTCTGTTTCTCTCACCACAGATGCTGCCAGACCTGCTGAGTTTCTCTATCACTTTTTTTTTTATACAGGTAGATTTGTGGCCCCAGTCTATAACCAGGAAGCAAAACAGAGAAAGGAATGGAGAGATTATTGATGGAGCATCAAGGAGGAAGATTAATACCTTTGTCAGGTGGACAACAGAGAAAGCTTTTCTGATGCTCTCCCTAAACATCTGGCAATACTGGGAAAGTACTTAACTGTTTTCTCAGCTGTCATTGCTTCTCCCTCAGTCCTGATATAACTGGGTTGAGTTCAGGTTTGAAATTTTTGTTTACTTTTTGCCTAACACGCATCCACATAATTTTTTTTTGAAAGTTGCCTTTTCTCCCCCAATCCATTTGCAAGTGTTATCTGATGATGTGAACATAAACTTGCCCCCCCAGCATTTCTTTCAGATGCTTGCACCCAACCCCAAATATCCTACAATACTTAATATCTAATCCCAATTGTTTTTTTCTCCATTGCTACCACACCCCAAGACAGTTTCCATTGTACCCAAAAAAACTAAATGCCACACTTGGTCATATGCTTCAAGAACTCTGATACTAACTTACCTCTGAATCTCATCCTTTCCAATATGTTTATACTCTGCTATCGCCATTCCAGTGATTGCAAACTCCAGCACCCGTTTACCAATATTCTTATAGCCTACACCTCCCACATTCCCCTGACTTTAGGGTCAGACTTTGGCTACAGGTTAGATGCTGGGAATTCTGTGGCAAGTAACTCATCTTCCAATTCCCTAAAGTCTGACTACAATCCAGAAGATACATGTCTGGAAAGTGATCTATGCTTGCCTAGATGAATGAGTCCCCAATAATAGTCTAAAATTTTAATATCGTCTAGGGCAAAGAAACATTTTGATCACTGATGCATGGTGAAAGCAGTATGTGCCATCCACAAAATGCACGAAAGCAATTCACCAAGATTCCATTGACAACACCTTCCAGATGCATGGACCACCTGCAAGTTCCTCTCAAAGCCATACACCATTCTGACTTGGAACTATACATTGCAGTTCTTTGCCCCAAGGTCAAAGTTCTGGAACTCCCTTCTGAACAACACTGTGAGTGTATCTACATCACTTAGACTATATTTCAAGCAGTTGTCTCACTACCACCTTCTGAAGGGCAGTTAAGAATCGTAAACAAATATGGACTCAGCCAGTAATGCCACAATTTACTGGCAGAAATGAAACAAAAGCTCATGTGATATGACCAAATACTACAACATAATTTTGTACGCCATGATCAAATTTAATTGCCTTTACGCTAAGATCAAAATATCTGTTTTTGTTGGGGATTTTTCCTTGAACTGAGGTTACAGTTTCAATCTAATTTCAAATTCTCGCGTGCTTGTTTGTACACCTTTGTTAATTTATGTAATATACAAAGAATTTATCACATCTTTCGCATTTTCTTATTTTCTTACCAACTTTCTTTGCCTGTATTCTCCGTTTTCTTTAAGGTGTTGATTCCTTGTTAGGGTTAATTGCACAGACACTGGGCACGTTCAGCTATCATTATCACAAGTAACCCTTGATTGTTGTAGGGTCTTCAGCTGTGGAGGTATAAAATAGTGTGTTGTAACTGAGCCTGACCTGGTCTTTACCCAGCCTTCAGTGTTTATGACAGGGGTTGCTGCTGAGCGCTGATAGAGAATTGTAGCTGATTTGCCTCAATTGTACTTTTGGGTGAGATGAGTTAATTGATGACAGATTACGAATTGAACTTAGTCCCTTCCTGACCTGCATAGCTTACCTGTTGAACCATTCAGGAAGATTTTTGACATTTTCAAAACTGAACACGGCAAAGTGGCGACTCAGTTTAATAAAATGTGGAAATCTTAATAGGAAAATGGTACTTCATTTGACTCAAAATTATATTCTTTATTAATTAGCAAGTAGAGATTTCTTAATCATTCATGATAAGCTGCTTTGTTGTGACCTTTGCCCTAAAGAATGCATGTGAATTGAATTGCTAGTTAAACATGCTGTACTGTTGTAATACATTTCAGTTAATTATTTACCATCACTTTATATTCACTTGGTTATACATTACATTTGAAAGCATCATAACACAGTATTTTGTCATGATAAAATTAAGTCTTCTTCGATAAATGAGTCATTTTTTCATACATAGATAACAAGGTGTAGAGCTGGATGAACACAGCAGGCCAAGCAGAATCAGAGGAGCAGGAAGGGTGACGTTTCGGGCCTGGACCCTTCTTCAGAAATGGGGGAGGGGAAGGGGGTTCTGAAATAAATAGGGAGAGAGGGGGAGGTGGATAGAAGATGGATAGAGGAGAAGATAGTTGGAGAGGAGACACGTACCACCCCACCACCCTCCGGATCCAACGCATCATCCTCCGACACTTCCGCCACCACGAAAGACATTTTTCCCTCCCCACCCTTATCTGCTTTCCGGAGGGACCACTCTCTCCGTGACTCCCTTGTCCGCTCCACACTCCCCTCCAGCCCCACCGCACCCGGCACTTTTCCCTGCAACCGCAGGAAGTGCTACACCTGCCCCTACACCTCCCCCCTCACCCCGATCCCAGGCCCCAAGAAGACTTTCTACATCAAGCAAATGTTCACGTGCACATCTGCTAATGTGGTATACTGCATCCGCTGTTCCCGTTGTGGCCTCCTGTACATCGGGGAAACCAAGCGGAGGCTCGGGGACCGCTTTGCAGAACACCTACGCTCGGTTCGCACTAAACAACTGCACCTCCCAGTCATGAACCATTTCAACTCCCCCTCCCATTCCTCAGACGACATGTCTATCCTGGGCCTCCTGCAGTGCCACAACGATGCTACCCGAATGTTGCAGGAACAGCAACTCATATTCCACCTGGGAACCCTGCAGCCCAATGGTATCAATGTGGATTTCACAAGCTTCAAAATCTTCCCTCCCCCTACCGCATCCCAAAACCAGCTCAGCTCGTCTCTGCCTCCCTAACCTGTCCTTCCTCCCACCTATCCCCTCCTCCCACCTCAAGCCCTACCCCCATCTCCTACCTACTAACCTCATCCCACCCCCTTGACCTGTCCGTCCTCCCTGGACTGACCTCCCTGGACTGACCTATCTCCTCCCTACCTCCCCACCTACACTCACCTTTACTGGCTCCATCCCCGCCTCTTTGACCTGTCTGTCTCCTCTCCACCTATCTTCTCCTCTATCCATCTTCTATCCGCCTCCCCCTCTCCCCCTATTTATTTCAGAACCCCCTTCCCCTCCCCCATTTCTGAAGAAGGGTCTAGGCCCGAAACGTCAGCTTTCCTGCTCCTCTGATGCTGCTTGGCCTGCTGTGTTCATCCAGCTCTACACCTTGTTATCTCAGATTCTCCAGCATCTGCAGTTCCTACTATCTCTGATACATTTTTTCATACAAGTATGTTTAAATGGTGCTCAGTTATTTTGTGTAATTTTTAGTTTGTTGATTTTTGATGGTAGCTATGTGGGAATCATATGAACTATTTTAGGCCTTTTTAACGACTAAAAGTTGTACTCCAACACTCCAGGCTAACATGAATTGGTTAACAGCTAACTGAATTATTTCCGTTGACTGATTCTAAAAACTAAACATAACCTGATGCAGTAGTGCTGAGCAAATGTTTACATTGTGTGGTGAAAGGTAACTGCTTTCACTTTGAACATTTATTTTTCCTTTCAACATTCTACAACCAATAATACTCATTGATATCTGGTTTTAGATGATAGCTGTTTGAATAGTCAAAGTTACATTTCAATATTACAAAATCTGAGTAATAAAATTAGTTCAAATAGTATGTTTAAAGTAGGAGATCAAGGTAAGCCCATGTTGGTGGGATGAAAGCCTCCTTTCCCCTAACCTTGAGCTTGCCTATTAGACAGATGTGTTAAGAGGCTTGGACCATGCCTCAGAACTTCTCACCAATTGTAGCTAAATTAGCAATGTTTAAGGATAGCCAGTTGGTTTTGGAAAGTTAATCTTATTTCTTAACGATGTTTTATTCTGTGGATCAGAGTAAGTGTTGATCTGTTGTCATGGGAACTTAAGCCAGTTATCTGTGGGTGCAACTTGCACAGTACACCCAAAGTGTTGATGAACCAGACTGAGATACTGACTAAACCAACAGCTACTTGAATTTTGAGTGAAAATGCATGCATTGCTTGAATCAGAAGTTTTAATCAATGGAAATTTAAGATTTGGAGGGGAGAAGGAGCATCAGAAGACCACAGATAGTGGAGAGATGTCTTCAAAGCAGTCATTTTCAGAGAAACTATTAGTTAAATAGACTCTGTCTGAACGTTCAAAGTTCTTCGACAAACCTATTTTGTGCACTCTGGCAAAGATCTGGAAAAGACCAGACTTAAGATTTTCTCAAATCTGGCTTCAAATTCCTGTACTTCAGTTAGGTCAGTGGGCTGAGGAGTGGCAGATGGAGTTTAAATTGGATAAATGTGAGTTATTGCATGTTGGTAAAACAAACAAGGACAGGGCTTATACAATTAATGGTAGGGCCCTGGGTACTGTTATAGAACAGAGAGACCTAGGGGTTCAGGTGCATAATTCTTTGAAAATCGCAATACAGGTAGACAGGATGGTTAAGAAGGCATTTAGCACACTTGCCCTCATTGCTCAGAGCTTTGAGAACAGGAACTGGGACATTATTTTGAGTTTGTACAGGATGTTGATGAGGCCTCTTCTGGAGTACTGTGTGCAGTTCTGGTCATCCTGCTTTAAGAAGGATATTATTAAATTGGAGAGGGTTCAGAAAAGATTTACCAGGATGTTGCCAGGACTGGAGGATTTGAGTAATAAGGAGGGGCTGAAAAGGCTGGAACGTTATTCACTGGAGCATGTGAGGCTGAGGGGTTTATAAAAGGTTTATAAAGCACCACAGTGGCACAGTGGTTAGCACTGCTGCCTCACACCGTTAGGGACCTGGGTTCAATTCCACCCTTGGGTGATTGTCTAAGTGGAGTTTGCACATTCTCCCCGTGTCTGCGTGGGTTTCTTCCGGGTGATCCGGTTTCCTCCCACAGTCCAAAGATGTGCAGGCTAGGTGGATTGGCCATGCTAAATTGCCCGTAGTGTTCAGGGATGTGTATATGAGGTGGGTTATAGGAGGATGGGTCTGTGAGGGTTGCTGTGGACTTGTTGGGCCGAAGGGCCTGTTTTCACACTGTAGGGATTCAATGATTCTACAAAAATCATGAGGGGCATAGATAAGGTGATTAGCAAGGGTGTTTTCCCTAAAGTGGGGCAGTTCAAAACTAGGGGCCATATTTTTAAGGTGAGATGTGAAAGTTTTTAATAGGATATGAGGGCAACATATTTTTGGAGTGTAGTTCGTGTGTGGAATGAACTGCAAGAGGAAGTGGTGGTTGCAGGCAAATGGGACTAGTTTAGTTTGGGGACATGGTCAGTGTGGACTAGTTGGACCAAAGGGTCTGTTTCCATGCTTGACTCTACGACTCCTCTGGTAATCCAGACCACGTTTTGGTACTGGACTGCTTTGGGCAAAAGAAAAAGAGTCGATACTTCTGGACAAAAAAAGTTGATTTTTATGATTGTTTGCATTCATGGAAAGGATTTGGAATATTTTGGACCTCCATCATCTTTCAAGCTTGGTTTCAAATTTTTGGACTCCTCTGAATGTTATGTGGACTTACTTTTCCTCCTTGGGAATATAGATGTTATTGGCAAGGCCAGCATTTATTGCCCATTCCCTTGAACTGAGTGGCTTGCCATGTCATTTCTGAGGATAGTTAAGAGTCAACCACATCACTCTGAGTTTGAAGTCATATACAGGCCAGAACAACAAAATTTCCTTCTTTCAAAGATATTTAGTGCACCAAATACATTTTTAAAATAATGATAGTTTCTAGGTCACCATTTCTGAGAATAGCTTTCGACTCCAAATTTCACTCATTGAATTTAAATTCCACTGGCCTCCTTGGTGGGATTTCTACACGTATCCACAGATGATTAGTCTGTGCCTCGTGTGTTGCTAGTCAAATGATATTACCACTGCACCATTTCCCCCAGTGTTCAGCAAGATTGTGCCATTGCACTAATCCCCTTCACCATTTTCCTCACTGCGGTTTTGCACTTTACCTTCAGAAAATTACCTGTTGGCATAGAGTTCGACAGAGCAGATGGGAAACTGTTCAAACTGCATGGCTTTCAATCAAAACTAATGCAGGCTTTTTTAGATGGAGGTCTTGCTAACTCCTTCAACGCAACATGTGAGAGAGTGAGTCTTTCACATAACACCTAAAACTAAGGTCCTCTTCCACCCAACCCCAGCTGTTGATTAAGATCAATGGTGGCATCCTGGAAAATGCAGAGCCACTTCTCAAGCAAGGCAGGCAGTCAACACAATTTATTGTTGCCTCCAGTGTACCAGCTCAGCCTTTGACTGAGACTGAGTAAAAGAGCATTTGAGAACCAGAATCTTAAGTTGATTGCTGAGAATCTGCCAGATGTTTATGAGACTTGAGTGGATCATTTGATGAAGAGGATAGATGGACTGTAAAGAGATCTGTCTTACATTGTCATATGGTTTTAGGTTAACTAAAAATGTTTGTAGATAGCCACAAATGAGCACTCAAAATACAGGCAGATGGTGGCCAAATTTGCCCCTGAATGTCCCCAAAAGCCTAGCAAAATTCAGTCCTGAGAGTGACAAGTTAGAGAAAAAGCACTGTTATTTGTGGAAAAGTTTAATCTGAGTAGCTGTCCTTCCAACTACTTGCTGTTTCTATCCTGTAATTGCTGCCGAGTCTTATTAGTGGGCCTATCAGCCAACATAGGAGAGGAACAGCCTACAATTCCTCAATTGTGAGAAGGCAGTAAGAAGGCAAGTGGTTGTAAAGAACTGGGGCAGAGTAAGGAGAAGCCTGGGTCTCAACTGTGAGCTGCTGTGCTGTTGCCAGGGCTTCAGAGTGGCTAAGACAGAGAAGCAAGAGATGTGGGGAATGGTACGGAGGGAGGCTGCAAGAGGAGATCCCAGTTTTAAACCTGTCAAAAAGGGATACATTACAAACTAGGAACCAGGAAAACTTGAAATCACTAAAGTAATGCAAATGAATGTGTTACCTCTAGCTAAAGGCTGAATATATTCATGAGCTACTGCCAATTCTTACGTTTAAATCTGAGATTGAGATCTGAGATGCAGGAAAATTAGTACTAATTGCCTGGTTAAAATTTTCCAGCATTGTGCATAAATAATGGAAACATGTTAGCTTTGACTTCACCAGGCTGTGGAAGATGTGTTTAAGGTGATGGCTTTTTATGCTTAGACGTGTAGGTCTGTTGTTTTCTGTCAATTTAAATACTGTGACGTCTAAGAAATGAATGCTTTCCCTGTGCACTGTTGCTTTAGGTTGGTAATTATTGACGATATTGTTGAATTCTACCAAATGTTACAATCAGTGGGAGGAATACAATGTTTTTCTCTAGTCCCATTACTCCATGCTCAGTTTGTTTTTCCCACTTCGAATACGGCCAACTGTATGCTTTCTTTATTAGATTTAGAATTTTTTAAAAATCTTATTAATAAATACTAAATCAATGATGCTTCGTAAACTACAAATTATTCCACAATGATGCAATATTGCAATAAGTAAATGTTTACCTCTCGAAATAACCTCAAACAAAGACTCAAGTTTACACCTATTCAGACCATGGGAGTTAGCACTGCTGCCTCACAGCACCAGGCGCTAAGGTTCAATTCCACCCTCTGGTGACTGTCTGTGTGGAGTTTGCACATTCTTCCCGTGTCTGCGTGGGTTTCCTCCGGGTGTTCCAGTTTCCTCACACAGTCCAAAGATGTTCAGGCTTGGTGGGTTGGCCATGCTAAATTACCCATAGTGTTCAGGGACATGCAGATTAGGTGGGTTATAGGGGGATTGGTCTGGGTGGGATGCTCTGAGGGTCGGTGTGGACTTGTTGGGCCAACGGGCCTGTTTCCACACTGTAGGAATTCTAAGATTCTAAGATCTAAGAAAACGCTTTCTGTCTGCAGAGATCCAGAAAGGAACACTTATGGCCATTAGCTCTTAGTTCTTGAAAGCAAAAACAAGGGTGAGGCCAGTATCCCATCACCAAGTCATCCTTTATTTGCTTGTGCACAGTACACTGGCTGTGGTTAGCCAGCTTGGAGTTGGTCCCCTGAACTGAGGAGATTCTAATCTCCTGGTTATATTGGTCAGCTAGGGCTTTCTTGATTGGCCCAGGTTAACAACCCCAATCAAGGATCTCGTAGCCAACAAGATCCAGCTGGTTCCAATCATTACAAAGGGTATATTGTGGAACATTTGGGTGGCTGGCATTTTAGCACATATATACTGGTGTTACCAACACGGGCAGATGTCTCTGGGGTCTTTGCAAATACTGTTAGCTCAGAAACATAACAGGCAATTCTACCTTTTCAAGTGGACAATCGGGTTTCACACTGGATTCACTACAAATGTGCTTCAGAAACAAGAGACACAAGCTGAGCAGCTCCTTTCTTTGAACAAGCTTACCATTGAAAAATCCCAAACTATCTCCAAACTTGCAAAACACATCACAAAGGAAAACCTAACCATTGAAACAGTCAACAAGGTGCAGGGCTGGATGAACACA